ACGGCGCTCGCATCTGTATAAGGTCATATGAGCGCCAAGAGATGGATGTCAACAGAGAAGTCCTGACAGGGAATCAGGCTTACTCTGCTCACCTCTCTAGCTTCAACGGCCCAAAGTCTGCTTCGACTATCGAGGCACCCCGGAAATAGCGGGTCACAAGAATGTGACAAACATACAAAAGAAGTAGCGGAAAAATGACGGTAGTAACGATTGAGAAAGAAAAAGCAGCAGTTCCCTGTTGCGGTTCAGGCACAGATATGACTGTAAGCATGACATTGATGAATCAGCCCATTTACAATTAAAATTCTACTGTGCATAAGAACATGGTTAATGTCCCCCCTTTGGGAATGGCCTAAAGACACTTCAGTCAGTAGCATGCCCCGGGGGGACGTGATGTAATTGGTGACGACCCCCGACATAACAACCAGGAGACCAACGCTACCACACCCCTCCGCCCTCCTCTAAACTACAACAACAACAACAACAACAACAACAACAACAACAACAACGAAACAGCAACAACAACAACAACAACAACAGCAACAACAACAACAAGAAATAAAACAATATATAGAAAAGGTAAGAATTATCAATCATAAACCTAAAAATACATACATGAGTGTTGTAGTTTTTAAAGTGATAAATTAAAAGACCCAAAACAAAACGGAACAAATCAACAAAACAAAAAAAACAAACACACAAAAGAAATAAACAAAAAAAATATTAAAAACCAAAAAAACCCCTCAAAACAAAACAACACAAAAAAATAGCACTGAAAGAGTGGGCGGGAGTAACAGGGCAGGGGATGTTGTGGTGGGCTGTGTGCCTTACTAACGTCAAATCTAACAGGTTTACGCATTTTTGTAAGAACTGGAATAGATTCTTTCTTCAGAGGGTAGTAATTTTGAAATGAAAGAAGGTACCAAGACAGCTTACAAAATACTTAAGCCGTGAAAATACATGGTATTTATGACTAAAGCTTTTGGGGGTAAATCGCCCATCCCCCCAAACAAAAAAAATTATTTAAAAAAAAGAAAAGAAAATACATAAATTCATAAATACTAAAAAAACTAATAAATATAATAAATAAATACATAAATAGATAAATAAATAAATAAATAAATAAATAAATAAATACATAAATAAATAAAAACAACCGAAGGAGCTTTGACATTGTCAAACTACTTTGCCAACACCCGTGAAAAAGGGAAACAAGAGAGAAAAAGTATGTCGATAGAGGTGTCTGTGGTCTGTGTTACTTCTTTTTTGTCCCTCTGTTCTTTCTCTCTTTCTACATGTCCCTCTGTTGTTTCTCTCTCTCGCTTTCTTTCTTTCTTTCTTTCTTTCTTTCTTTCTTTCTGTCTGTCTGTCTGTCTGTCTGTCTGTCTGTCTGTCTGTCTGTCTGTCTGTCTTTCTTTCTTTTTTTCTTTCTGTCTGTCTGTCTGTCTTTCTTTCTTTCTTTTTTCTTTCTTTCTTTTTTTCTTTCTCTCTGTCTTTCTTTCTGTCCGTCTGTCTGTCTGTCTTTCTTTCTTTCTTTCTGTCTCTCTTTCTTTCTGTCTTTCGTTCTTTCTTTCTGTCTTTCGTTCTTTCTTTCTGTCTGTCTGTCTTTCTTTCTTTCTTTCTTACTTTCTTTCTTTCTTTCTGTCTGTCTGTCTGTCTTTCTTTCTTTCTTTCTTTCTTACTTGCTGTCCCTCTCGTATTTCTCTCTTTGTTTTCCCCTTCGCTAAATGGCCGTCATTGTGTCTCTGTGAATCTATTCACTCAAACCAGAAAACCTAGACCACCACCGTCTGTTTCCCGTGCCTTTGTCTTCTTTTACTTCCGTTCTTTCTGTCTTCCTGGGGTTCTTTGTTGTTGCTGTTGTTGTTGTTGTTGTTGTTGTTGTTGTTGTTGTTGTTGTTGTTGTTGTTGTTCTTTCTTCCAACGTCTGGACTGCCCAGTGTAAGAGTCCGCCATACCACTATCTTAGAATTACAAAGTTCCATCTGACATTTTTGGCTGTTTTGAGTTACTAAGACCGTGAGGTCAGAAACCAAATTAGTGGGTGGTTGGCGGGTGCTCTGGTGGGGTTTGCTTCTTCTTTCCTATCAAACATCTATCGTCTTTATCTCCCCTCTTTCTTTTTTGTGTTTGTTACTCTCTTGTAAATCGATGTACAGAAAAGTGGGAAGACATGGAATAACATTAAGAGGCTAGCCCAGGATAGAGAAAAGTGGAGGGTGTTTGTCCGTGGCCTATACCCTGGTGCAGGGTGAGAAAGGCAATGATGATGATCACTCTCTTGTGACACCTCTAATATTTGGCACTTATTGAACTTTATTGTATTGCAAGTTTCGTAAAATACATGCTGAAACAAACAAACGAAAAGATAGTCTGTCTATCTGCTCTATCAAAATCGTAAGAATGGTCGGAGTCGTTAGTTAGGTTATATTCTAAGAATTACTTTCGAAAAAGCTTGACATGTTGTGAGACTCAAAATTTTTTAACGTCAAATTTGTCAAAACTAGATACTGAGGAGATAGAACATTGTAATTATTCTAAGGTAGCGATATGTCACTTTTCAAAAGGGTGCATGGTGGAGTCTTTCACTGGGTAAACGTGGGTGGTTTGGCGGGTGCTCTGGTGTGGTTTGCTTCTTCTTTACTGTCAAACATCGGTCGTCCTAATCTCTCCTCCTTAGTTTTTGTGTTTGTTACTCTGTTGTAACACCTCTAATCTTCGGCATTTATATGACCTTATTGTGTTGCAAGTACCGTAAACGGTCTATACAACTGGGTAGACGATCTACAGATTGCAATTGATCGAGTCTGCCTTTTTGAAAACTCGAGCAGCCGACCAAGCCGGCAAAGAAACACTAGTTCTAGTTAGTACTTACTTTTACTTTACTTTATTTCATCCGCTTGTACCGGTGGGTGTCGCGGGGAGATACAGGCGTCAGTCTGGAACAAGACGAGTGGCCTGTACTAGGGACATTTTTTTAGTAGAGGTTTTACGGCACTCGCAACTGCATAAGGTCACATGAGCGCCAACGGAAGGACATCCCGTGAGCTCTGAGGGGGTCTGCTGCTACAGATTCGCTCCA